GATGTTAATAATGCCTTCCTGCATGGTGATTTACAGGATGAGATTTATATGAAACTACCCCCTGGTTATACTCATCTCCAGGGAAAGTTTGTCGTCTGCGCAAATCTTTATATGGGCTTCGTCAGTCTCCTCGTAATTGGTTCACTAAGCTCCGTATTGCTCTGCGACATTATGGTTTTCGTCAAGCCCATGCTGATCACACTCTTTTTGTTCTCCAGCGCGGTCCTGATATGTTGGTTGTACTTGTTTATGTTGATGATATTTTGGTGGCAGGTAACAACAGGTCTTTGTGTACGTCGTTCAAGATGTATTTAGATGACTGTTTTCATCTTAAGGATCTTGGTCCTGTCTCTTATTTTCTCGGGATTGAGTGTGCTCGTTCTTCGACTGGTATGGTTCTCTCTCAGCGTAAGTATGCTCTTGACATTATTGATGAGGCTAATTTGCTTGGGTGCAAGCCTGTGGACACTCCATTACCCGTTGATCATAATTTGGCCTGATCTACTAGCGCTGAGATTCGTGATCCTCTTAAGTATCGTCGTCTTGTGGGTCGTTTGTTGTACCTGACCATTACTCGTCCAGATATTTGTTATGCCGTTCACTGCCTCTCTCAGTTTATGCAGGCTCCACGTCTTGACCATTGGAATGCAGCTCTTCGTGTCCTCCGTTATCTCAAGGGACACCCTGGTCAGGGTATTTTGTTACGTAGTGACAGCAATCTTGCAATTACTGCCTTCTCTGATTCTGATTGGGCTAGCTGTCCTCTTACACGCCGTTCTGTTACTGGTTACTTCATTTTATTGGGTGGTTCTCCTGTCTCGTGGCGCACTAAGAAGCAGAACACTGTTTCCCGATCTTCCGCGGAGGCTGAGTATCGCGCTATGGCCAATGCCTGTGCTGAAATTCGTTGGTTGCGTGGCCTTTTGGCGGCTTTGGATGTTCGGTGTGTCGCGACTCCACGTCTATACTGCGACAGCAAGTCGGCCCTGTTTATTGCCGCAAATCCTGTGTTTCATGAGCGATCGAAGCATATCGATATTGATTGTCATATAGTCCGAGAATGTCTTCAGCGCAATCATATTGTAACGGCTTATGTTCCTACGCGCTTTCAAACGGCGGACATCTTCACAAAAGCCCTCTCCGGTCTTCTTTTTCGTAGTCTACTGTCCAAGTTGGGCATTTGTGATCTACATGCTCCAACTTGAGGGGGAGTGTTAGCCTAGTATTTTATGTGTATATGTTTATTGTGTGTTGGGCCGGTGTATAGCTTGGGCCCGTGACTTGTATTCTCGGCTTTGTATATAAACTCCCGGTGACTAATGGAAAACTCAGTTTCACGTAAAATATTTCTACAAAATATAATAAGAAATACTCCGTATATCATAACTTAATATAAATATAAATTTCATATATTTTATTTTTATATTTTTTTAAAATGTAAAATTTTTTGGACTTTATTTTAATATTTGACTAGGGGCACATACTCCGTATTATTTTTCACCGGGGACACACTTAATTTATTAATTTTTTAAAATTATTTTTACACTATATATTTAAAAAAAATTTGATTGAAGGCAGGTGCTCTGATACAGTAGGCGTAGATCCGCCAATGTTAACAAGTATGTTTGCTATAAATAAGAATTCAGTTTGTTAAAATAACAATTTTGGGTACACCTTTTGGTGTACTCCTAGCATTACTCTTGCTATAAATAACAATTCAATTTGTTAAAAAAACAATTTTGTTCTAATTTAACTTTCCCATTGAACTACATACAAATTAAAAAAATTAAAGATAAGGTATTTTTTAACATAACTTTATTTGAGGAGGAGGATGTAAAAATTGTCAAAAACACTCATCTTTTTCCACAGAGGAGCAGCTGCACAATCATAACCGTTCTTCTCTCTGATTCCATACATTTCTTAGAGACTGCCTTCAATTTCTATCTCTCTCTCTCTCTCTACAGTAATTGATCTCTTTATTCTTTCTCCTCCATTGTTAAAGCATTTCTTCTCCCCAGCTAAAGCAAAGACTGAAGACCCTTAAAAGCACTGATACTTGTGACTTGAAAGTACCATCTTTTCTGGCTGCTTTTATCCATCACTTTTGAACAGGTCCAGAGGTTTGCCTGGTGGGTTTCTTTCTCTACGCACCTTTGCTTTGTTTTCTTTTACCATCTGGGACTCTGTGGGGCTCTGAAACCCTGTCCTGGTAGGGTTCCCCCCCTACAAAGAAGTGGTGGGTCTTTGTCCAAGATCTGAGTGCCTTCATTGACCCTTTTTTTCTTTTGCATCTCTTCTTGATCATCTAATTGTTTCTATGCTCTCATCTCTGTTCCATGGCGGTTTGCTATAGAAAAACTAAATTCTGATTTTTGTGTACCTGTTGATTGTGTGTGTGTATTATTACTGTATCTAGCTAGCTATTTAAGGATCTCTCATCAATTCCTTGAGCAAAGATTGAATTTTTAAGGTGGGACTTCTTGTGTTCTATGGAATCTTTGTTTTTTCTGCTGTTGATTACACTGATCTGCTTCTGCAACTAGGTTGATCTTCTAGTCAAATGATAAAGTTTTTATTTAATTTGACTTTCAAGGCTTATTTTCTTCTTTGCACCCTCCCCCATTTTTTATTTGTAGAAATCATTTCAGAATTTGTCTTAAATCTGCATAATTGAGGTGTTTTTTTATACTTATTACTGCATAATGTGTGTGTATAAATCGATTGAATGTGTGGGTAAAGCTGATTTTCTTATTTTTTGTGACCATAAAGGCTTGCTTCAGTCCTAGATGGAGCTAACCTCTGGAGCTTAAAGATGTGCTTGGGAGGGAACCAGCTAGTCAGTTGTTCCATCTGGTTTTGTTCCAATGGCTTCACAAATCTCTAGTTTAGAGAATCTGAGTTCCAAAGAGTTTCTTGGTCGGGTTCAAGAAGTTTCGACGCAGCTTAAGGCGGTCAGCAGGAAGCCACACAACACCCAACAGAAGGAAGACGCCGATTGTCTCGCGGAAACCTTGGATTCGAGCTTGTCATTAACTAAAAATGCTATTGGACATGGTAAGAAAATGAGCGAGCACGCGGAGTTTATGGAGAGTGGGAAGAGCAGCATGTATAGGGGGAGCACAAGCACGGACATGAGTGACGAAAGCACTTGTAGCACCTTGAGCAGCAGTGTCAACAAACCTCACAAGGCAAACGACTCAAGATGGGAGGCCATCCAAGCCGTGAGAGCTAGAGACGGCGGCGTCTTGGACCTGAGGCATTTCCGGCTGCTCAAGAAGTTGGGGAGTGGCGACATTGGGAGCGTGCATCTTTCGGAGCTGTGTGGGACCAAGTGTTACTTTGCCATCAAAGTTATGGACAAAGCTTCGCTCGCCAGCCGGAAGAAACTGATTCGTTCTCAAACGGAAAGAGAGATTCTGCAATCTCTGGACCATCCGTTCCTTCCGAGCTTGTATACCCATTTTGAGACCGAAAGGTTTTCTTGTCTCGTGATGGAGTTTTGTCCCGGTGGTGACTTGCACATGCTCCGGCAGAGGCAACCGGGAAAGCATTTTTCCGAGCAAGCCGTCAAGTATAACTCTTCACCTCTTCGTTTTTTTACCTCTAATTTATGCTCCACATTAGTTATTTGAATAATTTCTAAAAATCCACCGCAAGTACCCCGGATGACAATCAGAGATGATTTTATACATATACAGACGAAATATGTTTTAACGATGAGCTAGGTTGCAGGTTCTATGTAGCAGAGGTCCTTCTTGCTTTGGAGTATCTCCACATGCTCGGCATTGTCTACCGCGACCTCAAGCCGGAAAACGTGCTTGTGAGGGAGGACGGACACATAATGCTCTCCGACTTTGACCTCTCCCTTCGGTGCGCTGTCAGTCCAACACTGGTCAAGTCTTCGTCTGCTCTCAACGCAGACCCGCTCAAGAGGAACTCTCTCTATTGCGTTCAACCCGCGTGCATCGAGCCCTCCTCCTGCATTATCCAACCTTCGTGTGCGGTCCCCACGACGTGTTTTGGACCCCGCTTTTTCTCGAGCAGCAAGTCGAAGAAAGAGCGGAAGCCCAAAAACGAAGCGGGCAACCAAGTGAGTCCGCTGCCGGAGCTGATTGCCGAGCCGACGGGGGCACGCTCCATGTCGTTTGTTGGGACCCACGAGTACCTAGCGCCCGAAATCATTAAAGGCGAAGGGCACGGCAGCGCCGTGGACTGGTGGACTTTCGGGATCTTTTTGTACGAGCTGTTGTTCGGGAAGACGCCTTTCAGGGGATCCGACAACCGAGCCACCCTTTACAATGTCGTTGGCCAGCCTCTGCGGTTCCCAGAGTCACCCGTGGTCAGTTTTTCAGCCAGAGATCTAATCCGAGGCTTGCTCGTCAAGGAACCGCAGAGCCGGCTGGCATTCAAAAGGGGAGCTACGGAGATCAAGCAACATCCCTTTTTCGAAGGCGTGAATTGGGCTTTAATCCGTTGCGCGAGCCCGCCGGAGGTCCCCAGGCCGGTCGATTACGAGAGAATCAAAGCTCCACCGCCAGCGCCGCCGCCCTCAAACCCCAAGAATGTTACCGGAGGAGCTCCCCTGTATCATCATCATCAACAACCTTCCGACAACTATCTTGAGTTCGATTTCTTCTAAGTTCGATCACCTACATACATCGCCCAAACTTGGTTGTTTGAAAAAGAAAAAAAAACATTTTTTTTTGAATTCAATGATCATATTGTCTTGTTCATGTTGTTGTTAAACGGTTCAGTTTTGTTGAATTGCAAACATTCTCAGAAGGGCTTATGGCGTCGTTCCGAAATGTCAAGTTTTTTTTATGTCTTCTTAGAAGTGCAGAGCGATTGCCATCTGTTATCTGTCATGGAGTTCTTAGTGGTGGCAGTGGTCGCCAATGGTGATGGGGTTAGGGGCGGGGTTGCCAACAGTGGTGGGGTCATGCATGCACCACGCAACGACAAAGTGGAGTGGATTTCAAATTTACAATAATGAATGTTGTGTATCTATGGCGGTGGTTATGGTGGCAGGCAGTTGCAGTGGAGGGCGGAGGGTGGTGGTTATTTGTTAGTTGGCGCGCGGTGCCATGGCTTTCAAGGTCCCACGTACGCCTGTCAATAGGTCAGGTATAGACTCGAACCCGTGTAATATCTGTAATTTTTTAACGGATTTAGAAATATAAAAAATACACATTCACCCGTACTCAAACTCGTACTCGTTATTTAAAAATGTAAAAATAATAAAGAATGTTTTGTTGATTGAATGAATAAAAGAGGAATACAAAGTATGTATTTATAGGTGGAGGAATATTTTGTAGTAGAATCCTCTACATTAATGACTAATTATATAAGATAATATTATATAATAATAACTCTAACTATAATATGTAACAACCATAATTATAATATATAATATTAAATATATTAAATAATTAATATATTTAACATGCTTCCAACGTCTTGAACGATTAAGATTGAACGCCAGCTTTAAAATGAATAATAACTAGAGTCACGATTAGAAATTAGAGACATATATTCGGCTAGAGCTTACTGAATGCATCCGGATAATAAGAAAAGAAGAAAGATTGTTGGGAAAGAAATGTGTCTGCTTCGAGGAGGATGGGAGAAGAGCCGATGCGGACAAACTCATGCTGCTCATGCTGCTGACGTCGAAGAAGGAAGAAGATTGACGTGCGCTGGAGTCATGTGCGACTGGGTTAGAGAAGAAACACAAGGAATGAGGTACTGCCGGAGATGCATGTTGACCGAAGATCTGTCGACTAAGCAGGTTGAGGTGATGATAAGATCTAAAATCAGGAAGCATTGGTGATGGATCCGTAGCCGGATGGAGGAGTATGACAGATCATTATTGGAGGAACAAGTGGGAGTGAGGCCAACGTCGCCGGATAAATCACCGGCGACGACGGCAGAGGAAGCGGAATATATTGGGTTACCAAGAGCGAAGGCTCAAATACCATGTAAAAATAATAAAGAACGCTTTATTGATTGAATGAATAAGAGAGGAATACAAAGTATGTATTTATAGGTAGAGGAATATTTTGTAGAATCTTTCACATTAATGACTAATTATATAAGATAATATTATATAATAATAAGGCTAACTATAATAGGTAACAACAATAATTATAATATACTCCCTCCGTCCCAGTGTATTTGTCCAGTTTGACTTTTTCGAGTCAAACTGGACAAATTTTGAACTTCAATTAAATAATAATCGTAGTGTATTCTAACATAAATATGACTTTATTGGATTTATCGTATTGAGAAGGTTCAAAATTGTATTTCATTACGCGAATATGCAATATAAATTGAAAGTAGTTAGAGTGCAAAGTTTGTCCAGTTTGATTCGAAAAAGTCAAACTGGACAAATACACTGGGATGGAGGTAGTATAATATTAAATATATTAAACAATTAATATATTTAACAAAAAAACAAAAAGTATGGGTTAGAATGAGTAGTCCCGATCCGTTTAAAACACATACCGGTTAAATGAATAAATACTACTCACTCCGTCTAAAATTGTTTGCCAGATTTCGAACGACGTGCAAAATATCATGTATCTCAAAATCATTTTATTTATAAATTAGTAGAGAAATAAAAAAACAAAAATTACATCGTTCAAAATCATATCAAAAGGTTTACAAAACAAGATGCAACAAGAATATCTTATTTTATCAAATGATCAACCAAAACGAGTAAACAAACAAAAATTATCGAGAGACCAAAATAGTAACTGTTGTATTCTTTTTATGACAGAGGGAGTATTAAATAATATAAACCCGTACCCCCCCTTTTCGCTACATCCCTTCTTTGCTGGCTGCGTGACTTTCAAATCTATTTATATTTATTTCACCATATTAGAGGCATGTACGTGCCGGTTTATGCAGTAGTATGAATTAAATAGTTTGGAATCCTACTATATATAAAAAGAAAATAAAATAGATTATGTTGTTTCCCGCCCATATTGAGTAGCTCCGGTCCAAAACTTGAAGAACAATTCATATAGATATATAGATTCACAACAGTCCAAATAACCTAATAGCTACAATAATTCATACTCTGTATACATATATTCACATGGTATATGTCTAAGGAAGGGTATTCCCTTTTCCTCATTCAATGCATATTATCCACTTCAAGAATGGTGCATATTTTGTGCTATCATATGCATATTTGTTTTTCTGTAAGACCCCATTTGGTACATGGAATTCAAACCATGGAATTGGAATTGAGGGCTTCAAATCTAATTCCGGTGTTTGGTAGCTCAAAAATTATGTGGATTTGGAATTGATAGTGTAAAAAATGAATTGAAATTGGTAGAATTCAATTCTAGGGAATTGAATCCCATGGAATTTCAATTCCAATTCAATTCTAATTCCGTCAATTCCACATACCAAACGGACCCTAATTGTTATCAATTTTTTTTACAGGAATAGAATCCATTGTTGGCTTAAAAAAAATATAAAATCAAGAAGTATGACGAGAATCGGTGTTTTTGATATTTTAAATCTTCTAATTGTAACATGTTCTCAATTTTAAAGGAATTTGACTATGGGATAAATTTGTGTAAAATACCCTAACTGAAAACTGGACATGGAAAGGAATTAAGAGATGGAGGGATGATTATTGTGAAAATTAGCTTTAGTTTCAATACTTCGTAAGTTTTAATGTTGGCCTCAACATACATAATACATTCAGTGAAAATCATTACTTCGTACTCTGTAGTACACCCTATTTTTATTTAGTGTAGTGTGTCATGTGTTTAAGAATAAACTCTTTATCAATAAGAGATTTAAGTATATTTCAAAAAGTTATAATTTTAATTTTAAAATTTATATTTTTTTCAAACTAATACAGAGTAAATAATTAATAAGGATTGTTTTAAAATTCTTTTCGGACATCATTTTCCAAGATAGGGTAAAATATGTCTTCAAACACTATAAAATAGGTGAGTTTTATATAAAATATGACTTCTTCCGATAAATATTAGTAAACTTAAATTTCAAATTAAATAAAAATAGTATTAGATATTTGGGAAAAAATATTTTTATTAGATTTATTACATCAAATGTTTTCAAAAATATTATTTTATCAAATTAATATACAATATATATTTTATTTAATTATAGGTCAAAGATTGAAAATGATTAAGTGGAAAAAGTCAAAACTGGACAGATACTCAGGAAAGAAGATAGTATATATTGCAATATAAATTTATTTTAATATTGACATTAAAAGGTTTTAAGGAACTTGCTCACACACTCTTAAATTTCTAATGTTGTAAATTAAAGAGTTTGCTTAAGATGTATATATGATCGTAAGCAATCAATAAACATGACAAATTTTATGTCCGTGCATTGCACGGGAATGAATCTAGTCAACTATAATGTGATAAAGAACATTCTTGCAACATGAATGAATGTGACAAGAAGGCTAATTATGAATCTAAGATTTTTGTTGCATATTTTTTTTTGTAAAAAAAGGCTAATTTTTTTGCAGTTACGTATTAGTCTTATTTTTGTTTTTATTTAATTAAGATGCTTTTCATTCATAGTATTTTCACTATTTTTTTTTCAATTATACAAAAATAAAAAATATCAATTTTTATCACGGGTATACTCGACCCGATATCGAGACCCAATGAGTCTAAATCTGAGATTAAATTTCAAGAATCATTACATAATCGAGTAGAAGACAGAAATCAATCTTTTTTAAAAGTAGGGGTATGGAACATTATGGACCGGTCCGAATCCAGCATATTGACAGACCTAATCCCAAGTCCCAACGATAATGGTGATTCCAAGTGCTTCATGGTTGACTTGAGACTCGAAGAGTGTTGGAATCATATTGGATTATGAGCAATGTTATATTCACAAACAAGATATTCACAAACTTCACAAACTTACTATTTATAGTTTAACTTTTCATTTTAAAATTATTTTAGACTGTTTAATTTTATTTATTGAAGTTCACAATTAGTAAGTTTGTGAATTTTGTGACCATTTTGTTTGTGAACCAAGCATTATTCTTGGATTATCGTGATTTAAATATTTGAAAATCAAATGGGAAATCAATTACTCCTTACATCCTTAAAAAGTTTTTTTATTTTGATTTTTTTGGTCAAATAATAATACTTTTTTATCATAAATTAAATATAATCCAAATTAATAAATGATATAAAAATTTAATATATTAAAATTTTTTCTTAAGATGAACCCAATTATATGAAAACTTATAACGTAATTAAATATACTTTTCTCAGATTTTATGGTCAAATTGTGTCACTGTTTGACAAAAAAAGTTAAAAGAAGAAAGGTTATTAGGATCAAAGGGAACATTACAACATAGTCTTTATCCAAAAATAAAAATATATAGAAATGACATATTTTTATTCTAAGAATAAGATTATTACATTGTGACAATGTAATACTGTATATTGGTATTTCATAATGTTTTTTGATATTATATGTTGCCAATATTAGTAGTATAGGTCCTATATAGGTGATAAAATATAAAGATCCTATTTTTTCTCTAAATTTTACTCTTATTTTAGTTTTTCTTCATATTTCTTATTCCAAAATAAAAATTATACTCCATAATACTTTTATGCGTAAATAAGATTTACGTGGTATGACATACTGATTTGTAATGCTAACAAATACTGTGAAATGTCAATATATAATAAGGAAAATTATCTGAAATAATACTACTTTTTTGCAATATTACAAAAATAATCCCACATTTTACTAGCCACGTGTAATATTCCCAAGTCCCGACTTTCCACGTGTATGTGAGTTTTCAATCGTCGTTAGGAAACTAACGATCATTTAACGAATTTCTATAAAAAAAAACCCTATTTTGCGTAAATAAATGAAAGGTATGATTATTTGAGGTAAAATTTCTTTTTTTTAAATTTTTTTAAATTTTAAAATTAAAAATTACGTTTTTAAAAATATAACAGGACACTCTAGTTAGAGATTTGTCTCAATCTTTTAAAAATATAACTGTTTTCAAATTTGTAATTCTATTTTGGGAAATATATAATAGTTTGAAGTGAAATTTGTCCTAAATAGGACTAAAACATAATGACTTTCCTAATGTAGGACTTAAACTTTTTTATTCTTTAAATAGGACTTAATAATGACCTAGTGGGAGGAATAATGTCCAATAATAATAGACATTTACTTGAATAATGACTAATTCATAATGACCAAAGGTCCTACATTGGGAAATAAAAACATATGGTCCTATATTGGGAAAGTCATTATGTTTTAGTCCTATTTAGGTAAATTTCTCATAGTTGAATATCAAAAAATAATTCAAAGTAGCGGTTGAGAAAAAAATTTAAATATGGAAAAAATCACAACGAGTTATATTAAAAATTAGTGTCTTTTGGAGAAATAAATTATTATGCCATTTTCACAATTTTTGTCATGTTATTTTAAAAAAACTTTAATTTATACTAAATTGTAAAAACGTAACAAGTTTTGTAGTGACATTTTGGGAAAATAAATAAATAAATACTAGTAGTAGCACGTTATAGAAAAAAATCAGTGTTGTTCGAGAAAAAAATTGTAGCAAGTTATAAAAAAATCAGTTCCATTTCGAAAAAACCGTTGTGCAATTTTCACAGCTTTTGTAATGTTGCTTTGCAAAAATAATTGTAGAGTATTACCGGAAAAAAATTTCAACTTTTTAGTGGCATTTTTTTAAAAATAATAGCGGATTATTAAAAAACAATTTGCAATGTCGCTCAAGAAAAAATTACGATACAAAAAATTTTAGTGAGTTGTACAAAATTTGTACCATTTCAAAGAAAAATATGTTGTATTATTTTCACAAATTTGTAATGTTATTTTAGAAATACATTATTTATAGCAAAATAATTAATAATTGAAAAAACAATTATTTTCTCCTTGAAAAAATCATTTAGATTTTCTATTATTTTTAATACCAGATTATTGATAGACCTTGCAATTTTTTCATATTATAATTTTTTGTGATACAATTTATTTCTGGAGAGATACAATAGTTTTTTCCAAATTCTTTTTTCGATAATCCACTATTATTATTTTTTTTCTAAAATGAAACAGAAAGCTTTTGAACCATTATATTTTTAGAAAAGAAAAATCTCTAATAAGAGTGTACCGTTATACTTTTAAAAGCATAATTTCAAAATTAGAATTTTTAAAAATTTGAAAAAAACACTACTTCAAATAATCAGATGTTTCATTCATTTGTACAAAACAAGCATTTTCTATACAAATTCGTTAGATTAGCACTAGCTTTTTAATGGCGATCCAAAACTCGCACACATGAAAAAACAAATTATTATACGTGATAGTGAAAAGTGAGATTATTTTTTTAAAAACGCAAAAAACAATATTATTTCTTATAATATTTTCCTTTATAATTTTGAATCGTGATATTTCAATTTTTTATTGCACCGTAAACACATTCTTTATTACGAGATATCAAAATGTCCAAACCATACAAGTAATACTTATATTACATTACTTTCATATAGTTGAGATAATATCTAATGTGACGTATTGCTTGTGTGCTAAGTTCCTCCTCCTTGTTTTGGTGCCTCTTCTCATTTTTCCACTTCTATATATGATATATACATGAAGCCCAAATTGCTAACCAAATCCTCCTTGATCTACAACCATTTATTATTTGGATTTCCCCCAATATCCTCCTTGGATCTGGCATCCATTTGTAGCTGGAATTCCCTCCATTACTGCCTTGTAAAATGGCTATACAACTTCACATTCCCAGAACAGGTGCTGCAGGGTTTTAGCTTCTTTTTCACATAGCTCACATTTATCATTGATGTTCAAGAACTTGCCAATGATTTATATTGACTATTGCTCCATTAACCCACCAACTTCCGCACACAATCTAAGTTCACAAGAACTTTAGATTAACACGTTTTCAAAAGAGACGAAAAAGTTTTTAAATTTGTAACAAAGTCTATTCACCCCCTCTAAACTTTGTATCTCACCATTTTGGGACCACCAACCTTTATTGTATATGTGGGGGTGGAGATGCAAAACATAATCCAATTGATGAACTTCTCTCGGAATTTTAGCCCATAAAATATGCCCCTAACAAATGCATCATACACCTTGGGGGGGATACACCTTAATCCATTACGATAACTAACTTAATGAATAACTTAATCCAGTACGATGAGATTTACCCAATTTAAATTAGAATTATTTACCGACTTTATCATTTGTCAAAAACTTATTCCTATACAATTTCAAAGACAGGACCTTTAAATCATTTCAATGTGGCTTTGGGTGAATTTGGTGTTTTGATTTTCAATTACTAATGATTCATTTATTCAATGCTCAGTTGCTGATGATGTAAATTAATTGACCGGTCAAACTATACTAGACCGGGTCTAGAATAGTTTGTTTGATTTGTCAAAGTAAGAAAGCTAAAAACTCGCAGATTGACCGGTAGGACTTTAGGTGGAACACCTGTAGCCCAATTTATATTATAACGGAGAATGCACGGGTGCTTTTACAAGGGAGTTTAGAGAGAATGAAGTCGGATCCCTCTTTCTGAGGTTTACATGAGTATTTATACTAGGCTAAGGGGACAGGACCACGTGCGCCCACGTGGGGGCATGCTGCTGATGTGGTGCGAGGTGACTGGTTTCGTCCTCAAGCTGCCTTGTCGCCTTGTGAAGGGGATCATTCCCTTTGTCAAGTAGTGCCTTGGATGGATCCTTCAGCATCTCCAGTTGTCCTCTACTGACACGGGTCGCTACACGCCAAGCCCTCGCAGATCCTCTTCTGCCGACACTTTCCAACCTCAGAAACTACACCGGGTAATCTCCGAGAGGTGAATTCATCGAAGTCTGGAATAAACAGGATGATAACGTAATTTGACCGGTATACTTTTTTGTGAAGTGTACCGGTCAAATTTTGGCTGATGACATATCGTTTTGCTGACGATTTAAGTCTCCCTTTCAAAACTTTCGAGATTGACCGNNNNTCTGCCGACACTTTCCAACCTCAGAAACTACACCGGGTAATCTCCGAGAGGTGAATTCATCGAAGTCTGGAATAAACAGGATGATAACGTAATTTGACCGGTATACTTTTTTGTGAAGTGTACCGGTCAAATTTTGGCTGATGACATATCGTTTTGCTGACGATTTAAGTCTCCCTTTCAAAACTTTCGAGATTGACCGGTCAAAGATTTGGCCTTCTCCTTTGACCGGTCTTGGGTGAAATACACCCATCAATAAGCCCTCCACTTCTCGGTCATGCAATTTGTCATGAGCGGGAAGTAAAAAACCTGAAACAGGACTCTTAAATTTAAATTTCTGGCTCTTCCCGCTTGAAAAATTCATCGAATTTGAATTTCAAATTTGAAAGAACTCGCCACGTGTCGGACACCAGCCGTTGCAACGGTCGGCTACCCACACGTCGTTTCGTCTGCCAAGTACCATCATTGCGCCGCCCGTTGTGGCGCAATCTCAAGGCGCCACGTCGCCTACTTTTGGCCTCCCCTCTCCTATATAAAGGCCTCCAACCCCTTTCACTTCTCACTTTTCGCACTTCGCCTCCCAGAGCTTTCACCGGTCAAGTCCCTTATCTTTTGCTATCCCGCCCTCCGAGTCAAGTAAGTTCCCCCTTCCTTCCCTTTTTTCTTTCCCGGCCATGTCTTCGTCTAGCGATAGGATCTCGTCCTCAGAGGACTGCTCCTTTGGGGATTCCAACTCATCTTCCTCGACCGGGTCTTCTTCTCCTAAATCTACGCCCGGTCAGGTTCCGAACTCCATTCCCGACCCGCATCCCGTAAATCAGGTGCCCGGTGAAACTTTCGTGGGGAGGGATGACCCGGTTGATGACGAACTGGGCCCCTATGACCCTGAATGCGAAACCCGGGACGCGTGGGAGGAGCGGCTTCATGCTGCCGGTTACTTTCCGCTTCCCACCTTCTACGTCCTTGACATCCCCTCCCGTGTATCCAAAATCACCCTGAACAAAATTCGTAGGAGGCTCCCGGACGGGTATACCCTTCTATACGAACCCAACTGGCCCAATATTGTCGAACCCCACCGGGAGGACAGGATAGGATTCCACACCATTTCCCTGGATGCGGGCATAGTTTTTCCCCTTCGCCCCCTCCTAACCGAAGTATGCCACGCGTTTGGGATTTTGCCCGGTCAAATAACCCCCAACGCCCACCGGTATCTCCATTCCTTTGTAAATATCTGTACCCATCTGAAAATCTTCCCTTCTTTGCGTCTTTTCCTTTTTTGCTTCGAAGTCCTACCGGGCGGGGCTGGCTGCGAAGGTTTTGTATTCTTCAAAGCCCGCACCGGTAGGAAGTCCCCCAGAGTAACCGGGGATGGAAGGAAAAGTTTGTTTTCATCGAGTTTCCCCCCTTCTTCACTCCTCTGGCCGGTCTGAAATGGAATGACCATCTCCTTGACCAAGAGTACGCTGCACCGGCTTCCTCCCCTGACTTGGAGGCGAGTCTTGAAGTCCTCATGCGCGGGGATCCTTACACCGGAAGGGTCTTCCACTATGGCAGCTGGGTCTGGAGGGTCGAGTCGGGTGGTGAGGGTACCTCCCCGGCCCATGAAGCAGCGGGGCGCAGGGTACCCTCCCCGGGCAACACTGCAGAGGCTGAGGGCCAGAACCACCCAGGTATTTCTCATCTTTCTTGCGATTCGTATTTGACCGGTCGAACTATTTGTACTTAACGGCTTTAGTTTCTTTCGCAGATATGGAGTTTGAAGAGTTTGCCATCCCTGATGACCAACCGGCGGGGGAGACCGGGGGCTCCCAAGCCAACCCTTCCAAAACCTTCCCGGTCCACCAGGAGACCGTGGAGATTTTGGATGAGGACGAACCCCAAGACAACCGGTCCAAGGGGAAGGAGAAAGATAAAACCGGTCGCCGGACAAGGAAGGTGGCCACCACGCACCCATCTTACGCCAAGAAGAGGGCAAGATCGGATTCTGAGCCGGCTGGCCAGACCGTCGAGGAGGCCTTCGTCAACCTTGGGCTGAGGCTGAGGGAGGTAAGTTGAATTCCCCTCCCGGTATGTTAGGTCCCTACTTTCCTCTGAAGTTTAACCGGTTGGTCCACGCATGTTACAGGTTGGAGAAATCGGCCCCCTTACAGCTGACCGGCTGGGGTTTGGCTCTTCTTCGGAACTTGCCCGGCTGAAGAAGGAGAAAGAGGAGATGGCTCTCATCTTGAAGAGTCAAGCTGACGAGCTGACCAGGCTGTCTGGGCTAGCCGGGTCTATGAAGGTGGAGATCTCTCAGTTGAAGGAAGAAAACTGCCGGTTACTCGACGAGGTTTCTGGGGCGAAGCAGGAGATATCCCAGAAGGAGAAAGACTTCCCCGGTCGTGCTGCCGCATGGGTGGGAGAGAACAAGGCTGAAGCCGCCCGGGTGATGACGGCTAGCCCGGAAGCTACCATGGAGTCCTTCAGGCTTCTTTACCGGGAGCCTGAGGGGAAGAAGATGATCACCGCTATTTGGAATAGTTCTGTTGGCGTTTTCGACTTGGCCATTTCCTTGGGGGTATGCCACCGAAGAGCGATTGTGCTTGATCCCGAAGCCCTCCAAGTATTCAGTGAATCTTGGATTTCGGAACTGTGGGCCGTTGTCGGTGATGAGGTTCATGGGCGCTCCAAACCTCGTGATGATGTTCTTCCAAATGAATTTCTTGCATTGTTGCGTGGTAATGTTGGCCAACGCTTCGGCCTCGATCCACTTGGTGAAGTAATCGATGGCTNGTTATAGCGGCGACTTCCAATTTCTCGATGCTTGCATGGTCAAGGATCTCTACCCGGGCAAGTTTCGAAACATGCTCGGGAGCATACTGCGTCAATTTGGAGAGAAGGTCTGCATCCGCGTTCTCCGCCCGGGGAATCTGGGCGATCTTGAATTCTTCGAAGCCTTTCAACAGGGCAAGTACAAGGTCCTTGTATTGTGCCATGCGTCCTTCCCTTGCTTCCATGTTACCGGTCACCTGCCCTACTATCAGGCTAGAGTCAGATTTGATACTGGCCCGGCTGATTTTCAGGGCTTGGGCAAGTCTGAGCCCTCCAGCCAGAGCTTCATATTCCGCCTCATTGTTCGTCAGCTTGAAGTTGAAGACGATTGCATGGTAGATCTTGAATCCTTCTGGTGTGGTGAACACGATACCACCCCCGCATCCTCTAGGACCAGATGCCCCATCAACTGCCATCTCCCACCATTGCTCAATGGGCTTGTTGACCGGTAAGTCTGGAGTTAGACCGGTCATTTCGACTAGGAAGTCAGCTAGGGCCTGCCCCTTGATTGCTGACCTTGGCCGGTACTCAATATTGAATTGAGTTAACATCATTGCCCACTTCACCATCCTCCCGGAGGATGTTGAACTTCGCAACACTGCACCCAGTGGCTGGTCAGTTAAGACTTCTACCGGGTGAGCTTGGAAGTAGGATGTTAACTTTTTTGCGGAGATGAAAAGCGCATAGGCTGTCTTTTCCATCGCCGTATATCTACTCTCAGCCCCGTTTAGTGCTTTGCTCACATAATAAATGGGCTTTTGTGCCCCATCATCTCTTATTAAAACGGAGCTTACAGCATTTGAGGAAATTCCCAGGTACAGATGCAGAGTTTCACCCGGTTCGGGTTTAGACAATACAATATCCGACGCTAGGTATTCTTTCAGCTCCTCGAATGCCCTCCGGCATTCTTCGTCCCATGCAAATGTGCTGGCCTTCTTCAGAACTTTGAAGAAGGGCAGGGATCTCTCAGCTGACCGGGAAAGGAACCGGCTGAGGGCCACTAAACGACCGGTCAACTTTTGAACATCCCTAACGGAGGTAGGGGCTTGCATTTCAGTGATAGCCCGGATTTTCTCTAGGTTGGGCTCTATCCCTCTCTTGGTCACCATGAATCCCAAGAACTTCCCGGTACGAACCGCGAAGACGCATTTCTTAGGATTCAGCCGGAGGTTGTACCTTGCCATGATATCGAACGTGGCTCGCATATCAGCCGGGTGGCTCAGAGATACCTGGCTTTTGATCAGCATGTCGTCGACGTATGCCTCCATGGTCTTTCCCAGTAGTGGCTTGAAGAGCTTGTTCACCATGCGCTAGTAGGTTGCCCCCGAGTTCTTCAAGCCAAATGCCATTACCCGGTAGCAGTAGGTTCCTTCGGGTGTGAGGAATGATGTCTTCTCTTCATCTTCCTTGGCCATGTAGATTTGGTGATAACCCTTGAAGGCATCCATGAAACTTAGGAGTTCGCACCCCGCAGTTTCGTCCACCATTTGATTTGGACTGGGGAGGGGGTATGAATCCATCGGACAAGCCTTATTCAAGTCCGTATAATCCACACACATTCTCCACGTGTCACCCTTGGGAGCAAGGACAACGTTGGCCAGCCAATCCGGGTATTTGACTTCCCGGATGTGACCAACACTGAGGAGGTCTTTCACTTCCTTCTTGACGAAGTCTCGCCGGTCACTGGCCAGGTACCGCTTCTTTTGGCGTACCGGTCGACTTCCCTCCCTCACGGCCAACCGGTGGCAGATAACAGAGCGATCTATCCCGGGCATATCCGCCACGCTCCATGCGAATATGCCCGCGTATTCTTGGAGGACCCGTGTAATCTG